CATGTGTATATATGTATATATATATATATGTGTGTATATGTATAATATATATGCAGTCAACAATTTTGCAGTATCTGCAGTCAACCTACTTCACATATGGGGAGCAATATTATAGGCAGAAACATGGGTGTGCTATGGGGTCTCCAGTTTCTCCTATTGTTGCCAACCTGTACATGGAGGAGGTAGAAAAGAGAGCCTTGATGTCCTTTTCAGGGACACCACCAAGTCATTGGTTCAGGTATGTTGACGATACCTGGGTTAAAATCAAATCTCAGGAAGTCCAACATTTTACTGACCACATCAACTCTGTGGATAAATACATCAAGTTCACATGAGAAGATGTAAAAAATGGCAGGTTGGCTTTCTTGGACTTTGAGGTCTCAGTCTCTGATAGAGTACTTTTGCAAACTGAGGTGTACTGCAAACCCACCCACACAGACCAGTATTTGCAGTTTGACTCCCATCACCCTTTGGAGCACAAGTTAGGAGTCATCAGGACTCTGTATCACAGAGCAGACAGCGTCCCCACTAGCTCGGGAGCCAGGCAGAAGGAGAAATCCTACACAAGACAGGCTCTAGAGCAATGTGGATATCCTAACTGGGCCTTCCTGAAAGCAGAGAAGAAACCCAAACAGGACTCCAGTCAGCCAACAGGTGAAAAGGAGGAACCCAGACCCAGACCAGTGGTCATTCCGTATGTTGAGGGGGTATCAGAGAAACTGACGTTTATTTTCTAAACATAATGTCCCAGTGGCTTTTAAACCCCAAAATACATTACGGCAAAGACTGGTTCATCCCAAAGATCCAGTCCCCTGGCACAAACAGAGTTATATTGTGTATGTTGTTCAGTGTCAGGAGGGTGATCAGTCTTATATCGGGGAAGCTAAACAGCCACTGGCCAAAAGGATGGCCCAGCACAGAAGATCATCATCATCAGGCCAGGACTCTGCGGTCTACACTCATCTCCAGGCCAGCGGTCACTCTTTCAAGGATGAAGATGTTCACATCCTGGACAGAGAGGAACGATGGTTTGAGAGAGGAGTAAAGGAGGCCATCTTTGTGAAAAGAAACCGTCCATCATTAAACAGGGGTGGAGGCCTACGTGTTCAACTGTCCCCCTCTTACAATGCTGTGATTGCTAGTATCACTCAGCCCTCTGTGAACAGTAAACAGCCATCAGTGTGCTAATGATCCATTGTTAGGCTGATGGTCCTTCTTGAGCATGTGATCAGCTGGTTTTGGTTGTCAGCAGCAAACTGGTTGATCCACTCTGAGACGGTGCTATTTAAGAGACTGAGCTGAATACAGCACCTCAGACTGAGGAAGTCTCTCGGATGAGAGACGAAACGTTTCTAGAATTTTTTTTGCTTTGTTTTGCTTTTGTTTTTTTGAATGTCCAGAGGACCAGATTGAACTTTTTTGGACAAATATTAAACTCCAGAGACGATAAACATGGTATGATAGCTCACCAAGACAGAGAACGCTCCAGAACGACCCGACTTCCCTCTCTTTGGTGGATCAAGCTTCACTTGTCTCCTCACTCTGGTCACCTGAGAATATATTTATTTATTTAACAGACTTATTTTACAAGATGTTATTTCAATTGCAAACCTTAAAGAAACGTATCTGTGTAATTAAGCAGCATCAAGTTAAATTATGACGCTATGCAACTCTGCTAGCACATACCCCTTTATCCCCTGCTAACAGTCTGCTGCCTTTGTGTTGTCATGGAAACTCGTCTGTAGGGGGTTGGATTTCGAGTCGTGGCTGAGGAGAGAGAAGATGCTGGGGCGGCAGGTTTTACGCTTACTCTTCCTCTTATTCACAGCTTGAGTCAAGTGTCTCCTGGACCGATCAGCCTGAGAAAAATATTGACGCAGGGATTAGAGACAGCAAGACACACACAAACACAAACACTACACAAAAACTGTCTTCACTGGTGAGTAGCTGGGCTGCAGTTGATCTGGACTCAGTGTGACCCGGATCCTGGGAGCTGCAGGCGACAGACGGCTGCGGGGTTCAGCCTGGTTCTGGTCGCGCGGTGCTGGTCCGGACCGGGCCAGAGGTGGTAGACTAAATCCTGGGCAGCCTTGCTCCTGGAGCAGCAGCACACGCACATCAAGCTGGACGGAGCGGTGGGCTTCAGTCATGCTGCACCGGGACTTTTTTCCATCCATCGGTCGGACCAGAACCGAGCCGTTCCTGTTCTGCAGAGCCTGGTTAGTAAAATTTAGTAACATAATGTTGTTAAAATGAGAACATTGCAAGAGTGTGGGAAGGGTTTCTACAGCCTTAATATAAAGTTTACTTTACTTTAACTTCAACTTGGACTACTATATTCCTACTTCGCAGTTTTTCACTTATCGTGTGACTTCAGGGTACGGATCCCCCGTGATAAATGAGGGACCACTGTAGTCCAAGAACACGGAGGAAAACGTTCTTAATGTAAAGGGATACTTCCAACATTTTTATTAGAGGGGTTTTGTAGAATTGTTAAGAATAGTTTGAACAAACTCAGTTTGGAGAAATATAATTCTGAACAGTCTGATGAGCTGATAGCTGGTCCGAACGGCAGAGGTGGAGAAAGTACTCAAACACTTTACTTAAGCAAAGTACAAATAAACAGACAAAAATGTATTCTTAGTAAAAGTAGAAGTACCACATTAATGTTTTTAACTTAAGTAAAAGTACTTGCTTTTAAAAATAGTATAGTATTTGCTGAATGTATTACCTAATGCAACGGTCTATCATATCATTAAGAGTGCCTACAGTATGTATATTTTCTGTAATACATCAATAGTGTTGAACCATTTTAATGAACAATGCTGCAGATAATACATGTTTTTATTGTGTTTACTCTGTGACACCGTTCACACTTGGACTTGTGATTCTGTGCGTCAGAATTTCAGGGATGACATGCAGAGTTAAATGCATTAAGCAAAAATAAGAAATAGGAATGATTATACCTTTGAAAGTTTTTATTTAACACAAAGTAAAACCAATGTGTAATTTTAACTGCAGTAAACACATTTAAGTAAAAGTTGTCTGCCTGAAAAAAGGAGCATTAGACCAAACAAAGAAACATCTGATCATTTCAACTCCAGTTTGTCATCAACTCTAGTTAAAATACTCTCTAGTCAACCTTGTACTGGGTCAATATTGAACAATATTTTAACTTCCTGACACCATTTTCAAAACTTGGACCTGAGTGTTGCGTCATTTGGAGACATCTCTTGTCTCTTAACATCCCATGAACTGACACATTTTAATATTGCAGCAAGAATTTCTTGTTCAAGTTCAGAAGAAATTGGTTTTCAAAGTTTTTTGAGTCCAGTCTGGCTCTTTGGGAGAATCTGTCCTGCTGTACTGAATAGTCTTTCATTAGTCTTTCAATAAACTTTCATTAGTCTTTCAATAATCTTTCAATAGTCTTTCAATAATCTATCAATAGTCTTTCAATAATCTTTCAATAATCTTTCAATAAAATTTCAATAGTCTTTCAATAATCTTTCAATAGTCTTTCAATAATCTTTCAATAAAATTTCAATAAAATTTCAATAGTCTTTCAATAGTCTTTTAATAGTCTTTCAATAATCTTTCAATAGTCTTTTAATAATCTTTCAATAATCTTTCAATAGTCTTTTAATAATCTTTCAATAATCTTTCAATGGTCTTTTAATAATCTTTCAATAATCTTTCAATAGTCTTTTAATAGTCTTTCAATAATCTTTCAATAGTCTTTTAATAATCTTTCAATAATCTTTCAATAATATTTCAATAGTCTTTCAATAGTCTTTCAATAATCTTTCAATAGTCTTTCAATAATCTTTCAATAATCTTTCAACAGTCTTTCAATAATCTTTCAATAATCTTTCAATAGTCTTTCAATAATCTTTCAATAGTCT